CATTTGACAAAAACTCTTAAAAACTACTTTTTATGCGTAAAATATTGTTTATTAATGCATATTACTTAAAACTCAAGATTACAAGTAAATTGTGCGTAAGTACAACTTATTAAARCTCGATGTTTGAATTCATATAAATAACTGCGGATAAACATAATCAAATAGAGGATGAACATCTCATTTTAAACTATAAAAATCTAAAATATAATTAGAATAATTATCGAGTTCCAACAAAGTAAATAATTATTATTTTTATAAAAAAATTATATTATTAAACCAAATATAAATTAATTCGTTATTGTACATAAATTAAATTATAAAAAAATTGAATTAAAAAATTACAAAAAAAAATGATGAATTTCAAATAGTTAATTTGATACTAATATCGATATATTTTTGTCAAATTTTTATGATATCTCCAAACATATATTTTATTCAAAAATAAAAACATCACCGCTTTCTCAAAATCACATAAAATTGTATTATAACATCGATTGAGATAAAGAATAAAATGAAATATTAAAATCACGATGTATCTCGCTACATTGTGCGAGTACGCTTATAGTATATATAGACTTAGGATCATGTGAGACCAATGGTTTTTCGTGAGACCCGTGAGACCAATTCTCAACCCTTGGATTAGATCTAAAATCTGACAATCTAAATATTTATAAACGCCACGAGATTTCTTAATAATCACAAAATTGCCACCGTATAATTTAGACCGTTAGATCATTAACTTATAAAGTTGATCAATGAACATAAATTGGTCTTACGGGTCTCACGAAAAACTTTTGGTCTCACGTGAACCCAACCCTATATATATATGGTTGAAACTTGAAAGTACAAAGGCTCATTGGCCCGTTGAACTTGGATTATTTATAAAGCTCAGCCTCATACGAGGTTAACGGTTTAAATTTCACAAGGTAAAAAAGTGTACATAAGTGTTTATCGTATATAAATATTATAGACTTTAAACAAACATATTCTAGATAGTTAAGTTATTTTATATTTATATAAATATTCAGTTTATTACATTTTATATTTTTATATAAACATTTAGTTTATTACAACATGCTTCTCAAATTTCAATTATTCTAACGAGATAATAAACAAAATTAGCATAATTATCATAACTATCATCTTCACAATCTAGGTGCACATCAATTTCAAGATAGCATGTCATTAAAATCAAAATCTATACCAAACTTAATCCATATAATTAAAGATTATACGTCTTAAGAAATAAGTTCTCATAAAACATTAAAAATTAATTCATTTTAAACATATATCCAAATATTCTCTTATCAAGATAACGTTCATATTTGTCGTTAAAAATCACAATTGATACCCACTTAAACCAAATCTAATTCAAGTGAAGATGGTACAAGTAAAATCAATCTACATTTATTCTCATCTATTCTAACAGGTGCCAAAATTAATCAACAGTTATTAGCTCAAAATACAAAATAAAAACAACATACCGTATTCGGTCAACTGTGTGCAAGTGTTTGGAAATGTCTTAATGATTTAGCAAGGAGCTTGTTTGCACAGCCCCAAAAATGGAGTCTCTTACGTCCAACCATTTATTCCCCTTTTGTCATTTTCCCTTTCTTTTAACTTCATCCTCATTTCTCTTTAACTATTGACAAGAATCGACTTGACCAGAAAGAATCTTCACTACCACCCCTCTCGTTCTAGATCTCTCAATTTGGTCCTATATGAGAGGAGCAGGGCTGGTATGATGTTTTCATCTTCTTTCTTGTTATCCTTCTCTATCTCTCAATCCAGCAAGGGCACAACATAAAGGAGTGGAGATTTCCAATTGAGTAAATGGTTTCAAGCTTTTCAGGCAACTGAACACTGGAGTTCAACTTACATGAATGTTGTGAAGGGAACATTATGTTGTTTGATTTTATTTAGGAATTCATATGATTTTTTTCACCAAAGAAAATGTGATAAGAACATCCAAAATTATTCAAATTGACTTTCTTGGTTGTAGAGTTTCATGGGATTTTTGTCTTAAATCAGCTACATGTTTTGAAACAATAGTTTATCACTCAAACCAACAACATTTTTTTTCAAGTCAGGATTTTGATTATATCAGAATTGGGTGGGGAGTAGAGATGGATTTTCATCAAATGAGTTTCCTCGTCTAGGAATTTAATGAATTTTTCCACTTCTAATAAGTATATTTGATTGTATCTCTTATGTACATTTTTCGTAAACTACATCCATGCATATTTGGTTTTTGATGAAATAAGTCCGAGAAATGCAGTTGCTTTTATTATGGAAAAAAAAACAAACATTAAGATATAAAACAGTCATATTTAACATTTAAAGCATCTTTAACAGCTCTTTTATGATAAAAAAAAAAATCAACTTTTTGTTCTCTATAATACTCTAAGAGCTTCTCTATCTAATTCTTTAAAAAAAAAAAATCATAGAAAAAACTCCAAATATATGGAGTTTGCGAAAAGTAAATACCTGAGATAATACTACAAGGACCCAATTGTTTGCAAGTTCGATATTTATCCATCTGAGTCATGATTAATGAATTAATAAACAGAGTAGAAATTAAAAATTAAGGATGAATTTTGGAAAATGTTTAAACTGAGAATGGATACAAAAGAAGTTTCTTGTACTTGGCCCCACAAACACAAAGCTAAAGCTAAGATTCCATCACTATATCCAACAGATCATGACAATGCCTGCTCCCGATCTTTCATCATCCACGTGGATTCCTTATTATCGACGTTAGCATCCAACGGCTCCGATTTCACCTCCGACCCAGGCTGTTGCAATTGCAGCTCATGATACTGCTCCGCCGCTTCACAGTCGCTTCCTTCCCTCGCCCGTTTCACACCAATCGGCACCCCGAATAGTCTAGGGCTGATATCCTCCTCGGCTTCTGTTGATCCTTGGTGAGTACCCTCCGATAAACGCTTTAACGGCAAGAGATCCAGTGGTTTCACGGTGGTTGTTTCCGCCTCCGCCGCCGTCTGTTGTTGTGAATGTTCTGAACTGTTCCCTTCCGATGGGTTATTACTGGCATAATTAGACATCATCACATATATACTGTTGCATAGATTCTTCATCTGACTCAATTCTCTATTGAGTTCAACATTCTCTCTCCTCAACCTCTCGTTTTCACCGATAAGTTCTGCATCAATTCCACCACAAGCTGTTGTTTCTCGAGATAAATAAGTTGTAGCGCCTCGAGATGAGTTCGACGACATTACTTGTTCTTCCCCTGAATTGCTGGGAGAGACGGTTCTCCGCTGCGCAGGTGATAACGCCGCCACTGTCACCACCGGAGTAGCTGCAACGGTTGGTGCTGGTGCTGGTGCTGGCGTAGCCGATGCGATCTTTCGACGTTGTATGTCACATAACAGGTGTTTCTCGCCTCTCCGGAAGCAATCGTTTGAGAACTCCCATCGATCAGGTACAACTTTCCTGAATCCCTACCAGTATAATTGAAAAGTGTTCCATCAAACTGTTTGATTGTAAAATCGAATGACCAATCGAGACTTTTATGTACGAATCTTACATAGGTGTTCAACTGGCGGACGAAGCTGGAGAAATTATTGTGCTTGAAGTACTTGGGAAGCAAATCCTTGGCAAATTCGGTAGGATTCCAAACGATGAAGCTAGATCCATCTTCATTCCAAGAGATCACATCGTCGATCGTTTTATCATCCACGAGCTGGTAAGTTTTCGTCAAAAACGGCGTCGGAAGAGATCTGGCAGTCGTATCTGCGGCCGTGGATTCTCCGCCGCTCCGCTCCACCGGCGGAGGAGCCATATCCTGGAAAGAAGCTTCAGCATAACCAAACAAACAAATTCAACAAACAAACATCTAAATCCGAACAAAAACAACCTCGAACATTAAAATAACTGGATGATTGAACATACCGATTAGATGAATGTAGGCATACAGATCTACGTGATTGTAGACGATAGAGATCGGTAGCGCTGGGCGTTAGATTTGAGGATTCTAGAATGTTCGTGCAGAGGAACACGGGCGAGAAAGGGGGTAGAAAGTTGTGGAAAAGAAAAAGAAAAGAAAAAATATTACATGGAAAGAAGAAAAAGGGGGAAAATTGTGAGAAAAGTGCGTGCGGAGGAGAGATAAGAAGAAAGAACGAGAAGGTACGTCAAAGTAATTCATTTTTCAGAAGTTTCTTTTTCTCCATTGGATTTCAATACGTGTCAACTGATAAGTGGTTGCCATATATTCACTTCCCTCTAAATTACAGTTTTGGCCTTACACCCTTTAGATTTTTTGTTTTGACATGTATCTTTTCTTAAATATATCTTAGACAACAAATTACTTTATTACCTTTTTCCCCGTTGCAACATAATCAATGATGTGTTTGGTATAATGGAATATGATGGAATCCATCAAATGAATTTGGTTTTGAAGAAAATTAAAATATAATTTGTTGTAATTTGATCAAGTGTTTGGTTGATAGGAATTGTAATGAAATTTCTTAATAATTTGATCAAGTGTTTGGTTGATATGAATTGTATTGAAATCTCTTAATAAAACACCCATGGCCTGCCGATACCCTACTAACTATCATGTCACTACAGTCGTCGTCACAGCTATCAACCCGCCCACCCTTACCCAAACCCTGCCCCACCACCCTAACCCCACCACTCCTGCCCCACCCTTGCGTCATAGGTGGGGGTTGTTGGGGTAGGCAGTGGGGGTGAGGCCAGAGTGGGGCAGTGGGTGGCAGCTGTGACGAATACAGTGATATGATGGTGGTTAGTGGTGGGTTGGAGAAGGGTAAGGTGGGGGTGAGGCGGGACGATGGGGTGGGTAAGGGTAGGGGGCAGGGATGGTAGCTGTGACGATCATGGTTGTGGACGGTGGTCGCGTGGCTGAGACCTAGGAGTAGGTGGGTATGACGACAACAATAATGGCATGGTGTTTAGTGATGGGTTTGGTGTAGGGTGGGGTGCGGTTGAGTGGCCGTTGTGAAGGCGACAATAGTGGTGTGGGGGTTAGGTTAGGGGTGGGATGGGCGGTAGGGCAAGGCGATGGGGATGGGTGGCAGCTGTGACGACGACAGTGGTGGGATGTTGGTGGGGTTGGTGGGAGTGGGTGGGCATGGCGACGACAGTAGTGACATGGTGGTTAGTGGTGGGGTTAGGGTAGGGCAAGGTTGGATAGGGTAGGAGGGGTGGGTGTGATGACCACAGTAGTGGCATCTTGGTTAGTGGTGGTGTAGGGTGCGGTGTGGTAGTGGGGGATTAAAGGTGGGAAATGAGGAACAATAGTGGCATGGTCGTGGTTGGTGGTGATGGAAGTCAATTCCTTCCATTATGTCAAGGAATGATGAATTCATTAATTTCAAGAAGTGAACCAAACAAAGAAATTGAAATTTGGTCAAATAAATTTGTCATTCCAATTATATCAAATTCCTTTGAACTTCACGAACCAAACAGCCCTAAGAGTAAACAGGTAAATGCTTAAGACTAGTGTCACTGCTCACTAGTCTTATCAGGTAACTTTCTTGACCTTCAAAACATAACGTTGGTAAGCATTTTTTTTATCCGACAAACATTAACCGGATAAGAGTCTTCTCTTTCATTTATGGAATAATACTCTATTGTTATGTCTCTTATTGAGTAAGATTCTCAGTCTTTATCATACTCACCCGATAAAATAAGTGTCTGTTAAACTATCCCTAAAACCGGCCCTCGGAATTTTGAGCCACTTTGTTTTGTTTCATTTCGTACCATTACGAGGGAATGTGTAAAGCAATGCTTCATTTTTACAGCACATTTCTTCCGTTATTAGAATAAAAAAACTTAGTGTTCACTTACTAGGCTCGATGATCTCAAACTTGCATTTTCGTTCATAGACATCGTGTCGCTAGAAGTTTATTATATGATTCTCGAATAATAAAGTTGAAATGTGAGGAATTATACATTTATCGGATGATGTGGAATTCCCGTTCTGCGATTTTTATTTGTTTCCATTCCCCTATGTTTGGCTTATCCCATCTCACACTTGTACAGCTTAAAATATACAATCACGTAAGAGCGCCATGATCAGACTTGTACGTTAACCTGTAACTTATCATAATCTCCAAGGAAACAACTCTTTTACTCCTTAGAATAAAGAAAGTTGTTTGTTGCTTGAAGAAGTTGAACATCAAAGCAAGGTGATTCAAGAACGCAGATGAAGCCACAAAAATGAAAAAAAGGTACGAACTTTATAGTTCTTTGTATGATCACGTATTTTTGCATTGATTTAGATTGAGATCGTTTCTTTCATTCTGCTGCCGGGTGCTATTAATATTGTTTTAAATGGTAGCGATACCAACTATTGAGTAAACACACAGAGAGAAATTTATAGGTACAAATTTGAAGTGCACAACAACAGGATTGACAAAATAACCCAGTTTCAGAAGAAGGATAGAAGATTACAAGAACATAGCAACATTGGATTCAGTTGATTTGAAGATATTAGAACTAGTATATGATCAAAACATGACCTGTGGCTGAACGATGTCACATATGCACCTTTGTCCAAGATTCTTCACGTAACGTCAAGTCTGCTTTTCGACAATGGAACAATTGGGGCACTTACTTTCTCCTTCACGGTTGGCTGTGGTTCTGTAACAACAAATATGCTTCTTCAATAGTTGCAATCAGAAAACTCGGAAATGAGGTACGTATTACTTGTATGACCAAACACCGGTAAACTGTACTAGATATATCTTGTACATTGACCATATAGTTATCAGAATTTTCTCAATATAATATCAATTTTGAAAGTGGAAGTTGTAGTTGACCTATACATTCAAACTGAGGTGCAAATTATGCAAAATTCAAGCTCTCTTCACATATCTAACATACTTTAAAATGTTGAGCAGATCCAAATGTGGTTAGGACTTACTGGAGATAAGAGCCTTAGGTCTAGTCTTGAACAAGATCCGCTGACGAATGATACCAATAACTTCCAATTCCACCCTTGATGAACTAAGATCATCATCGTTCTGGTCTATTTCCATATCAGATTTTATGGTCTTCTTCAACACCAGTAATGGTTTCTTCAGAGGGATCTTTGATCCACTCAATTCATGATAACCAACAGTAAAGGTATAATTTTCCTGAACCAAAACTAGCCCCATTAATAGCCCGTATCGAAGATTGAATCTCTTGCGATTCCAAAAATTACCGATTTATACGTCAAACACAACCATCACAGAAGAAGTTGAACCTTACAAATTCCAGTAATAAAATTCATTCGCTATGTATGTATCGGAAGGTAGAATTAGCAACTTATAAGCAATTAATCACCACATTTTGGAAGATTTTTACTCAGAGATAATGATAATTAACCTGGGAAGAAGGGCGGCAAAGAAGACCGATCTGGAGATTTTGCAAGCGATCTTGGAAAGCGGGTTGAACTTCCACAACACCTTGCAATTCGATGATTGCCCATTCAGGGCAATTCTGTTGACCGCAGCTGCACTTCAATTTGATTTCCATGTCTATTTTGGCTTCTGTAAATTAGAAAACGAACATCACTGGTTTTCTAGGGTTTTGGATCCATCAATTTGGGATTAAATTTGGCGGCAAACTGAAAAAGCCCTGCGTACTACGGTACGCCCTTTCTATGGAATTACTATTTGACCCTTGATATGCTTTTAATTTTATACATTTTACCCTTAAATAATTTATGGTAACGTTTATTTTTTAAAAGGTACCGGAGTCTGGAATTTAAATTCATTTCTGATTTTTAAAAAGTTAGTATTAAAGTCTAAAATCTGAATCAGACTGTTTTTTATTTATAAATTTTTGCAAAGATGATTGAAAAAGGTTGGGTTTTAACTTAACTAAGCCTTTTGTTAAAAAAAAAATATATATATATATATATATATTATAAAAATAACCACTCATTTCTTATAAAGAAATGCCGAATGAGAAATGGGTGATATGGATGTGACAAAAAATTGACATGATATGACTTTGTACCTCCCTTCGCAAAGAGTGAGGAGAATCACAAGGTGTAGGAAACAAGCTAAATAGGGTTTTTTTAACCCCCGCTAAATATGGTTACTTAGGGGTTGCTAATGGCACCCCTTAATAGGGGTGTGAAATTCATTGAAACTTGAACCATGTCAAAATCAATTGAAATATAATATATTATATTATTATTATTTTATATATTAATATATATATATATATATATATAATTCCTTATATTATATATTTTATATAAAATTATTTTATCATTATTAT